CTTTACCTCTCATGCTTTACCCTCCTACCTCACCCTCTCCTCCTCTCTCTTCTGCTTTCCCTTTCCCCTCCTGCTCTCTTCCTTCTCCCCCTCCTCCTTCCTCTCCCCTTCTCCTCTTCTGCTTTCCCCTTCCCCTCTCCCTCTCCTTCCTCTCCCCTTTAGCCTCTCATCTCTATGAATCTTCCTCTTCCTCCCCTTCTTCCTGTCCCTTACCTGTAGCTTTTTATAGTTTTTTCTTCCCCCACCACTTTCTTCCACACCATCTCTTTAGATGTAGTTTTAATTATAAATGAATATTCAATAATTTGGTCTGAGCATGAAAGACAAGAGACATTTTTCAAAACAACACGATTCTTCTTTTCAGGTTCAGCTGCGTGATGATCCATCAAGACCGTAAACATGTGGGAAAATTAAATGCAACAAAAAAGTTTGGAAATGCATTTTAACCTTTTATCAAATATTGTTGGCTGAATATTATTTGTTGCAGATCCCGTATAGGGAAGAAACAGCTAGGCAGAACCTATTTACCAAGTGGGCCGAAAGACAGGAAAGCATGGTCTGTTAGCCCCAACGGTTGGCGGATAGTGATATCTGAACAATAAATGGCGCAGTGTCGTCTGTTTAATATTGTGAAACGTCACTAGTTCAGACTGGTAGGAAAGGGATTGTCTTTTTTGGTAATTTTCTGGAATATGTCCACCAAGTGGATCGCGGCAATTTCGGTATCGCTGAATTCCTCTCACTGTCTAGTTGCCAAACATATAGAAATTATTGCGCGGGAAACGCCCCACATCCTTGGCCCCGATAGCTGGGGAGGGCATGAGAGGTACCAGGGAAATTGCTGTGTAAAATGTAGTTGATATACATAGAATTAGTTACTATATTGTCTAATGTGCTGCAAGGTCTATATAAGTACTTATATAGACCTTGGGGTGTGTGCCCCCTGCAACACCCCCATGGGGGCTGCCGCCCCCTACCCCCTCCTCGCTCCCACATGGCGGTGATCTGTTCGTGCTTGCCGTAAATACGTGGATTCTTTGTTTTCCTGGGTGGGGTTTAGGGGACGGCAGCCCCATATGGAGGGGTCGCAGGGGCATCAGGCAACACAGTGACTAATTCTGTGTATATCATTTACATTTCACCCCGCAATTTTCCTGGTATCTTTCATGCCCTCCCCTGCTATCGAGGCCAAGAATGTGGGGGTTGAGGAGGGTTCCGCACAATAAAAGCTACATATTTACATTGTAGACGGTAAGAGGAATCCAAAGATACAGAAAATGTTGTGATCCGTTTGGGGGACGTATTCTAAAAAATTAACTTTTGTTTTTGCATGTTTTATGCTTCTTATTCTGATTTAATTGTAGACCTGCTTTCATTAATACTATCATTTATGACCTGGAATCAAAATAAAGATTTTTTTTACATAAATGTTTTGTATATCCTTGATTTAATGACAACAAATATGAATGAAAAACAGGAAGAATTTATTAATGCCGAATGATTGTAAAGTATGCTTGAATATATGTTCGTATTCATTGTTGTTTATACCAGGATGACAGAGTTATTGTATTTAGGGGAATTGGGGGGTATTTGAGTATTGGCCGAACCAGCATTTTGCAGAGGTGTATTTTCGTATTCTCTGGGCATCCTGAGAATCTCTTCAGCTTTGTGAGGATTTTGTTTGCTATATCGATTCTCTCTTTCACGTGGGCTGCGATGCCTGTGTTTGTTATTTTTAGACCAAGAAGTTTACCTTCTCTTGCGAAACCCACGTCTATGTTGACGTGTCGGGGTTTCCAGGTTTTGTTCTGACAACCGGGATAATTAGAATTTTTTTATTTGTTTTTATTTTCCATTCTTCTTCAACTTTGTTATGGCCGATATGGCTCTGTCTGTGGCAAGTCTGATGAATTGTTGACGTGCAGAAGGATGGGAGATGATTTGCGTGATGTCATCCGCATACATTATGTAGGTGCTATTGATGTGGGAGGGGGGGGGTGAGAGCACACACCCCTGTGGAACTCCACTCAGAAGTGGGAATTCGTGACCAACTAGTTGGCCTACCCTTATTTTGGCTTTCCTGTGCTGTAGGAAGCTGCAGTGTTTTTATTGAGGGTCTGGGTAGGTTGAGGTGAAGAAGACGATATTTAATGCCAGGGTGCCATACCTTATCGAAAGCTTTTGCAGCGTCACGGAGGACGATGTTGACCTTTTTGTTGTCTGCTAGGGCAATAGCTATTGCTATGGAGGTTCCCCTTGATTGTCTAAATCCATATTGTCGGATGTGTAACAGCTGATTGTCTTCAAGGTATGACCGAAGGCGGATGCTAAGGATTCTTTCGAATATTTTCTCCGGTATTTCTAGCAGGGAGATAGGTCTAAAATTCTCCGGATTATTGGATGGCTTTCCTGCTTTTGATATCAATGTAAGTACGGCAGTTTGAATCTTTGGGAAAGTATCCGGAAGCCATAGACATTAAAGGAGGAATAGACACATTAA